AGAGATGGAGAGGATCATGGAATTAGGAAGTAAATTCTGGGAGTGGTTATAGAGCATTATAGTGAGAATATAAATATAAATATTCTTTAATGTATCTTTTTCTGATATTCTGTGTGAATAATCACAAATAGAAATAGAGATGAAAAAAGGGAAGTAAATGAGATATCAAAAAGTGTCGAATGCCAGTGTCTTGCTCATTTTGCTCTTTACAGCAAGCAACTAGGCACAGTGTGTACCTGCAGGTGTGTAAAAGCGTAAAATCATGCTGTGTGCATTGCTAACAGGGAATGAGCAGGAATGGCATCTCTTAGATGAGCTGTGATCATTCAGCAGCCACTCAGGGCATCTGTAATTACTTCAGCAACACTAGGAGTATGTGTATAATTAGAACAAAATGTATTATACTTTAGCATAGCCTTCTGATTCCTTATTGCAGTTTACACAAATATCACTGATATAGAACACTATGGATATATTGTATGCAAGGTATAATATACGAGAGTGTGTGCTGTAGGAATATAGGAAAATAATTCACAATGGGGTGGTGTGATCCATGTTGCATTGTGCCATTAGCAACGCTGTTGTGTTTTATTCCTCTTATACCACAGCAATTTGCCAACAATTGCAATTTTTAATTTAGTAATGAATGACACTTCATATGTTTATCCCTTTATTGTTTGCTAAGAAACGCCTGGAAAACAAGTTAGTTCCTGTTACCACTTCGTTATAAGTTAATAAGACAGAAAAAAAAGCAAAAAACATCTAGTCATGTTACAGAGGAACTGGAAAAACACAAACTCATCTGTCCTGAAGACTTTCCTTACTAATTGTTACAAAGTGCTGACACTGGAGACTCCTTCCATAAATGTTAAATAAACATCTCCTCACAGAAACCTTCACTATATCAATGATTATACTTTGTTTTGGTAATTAAAAACACTAATCCATTTATTCTTATACCGTCCTCCATACAAGTCCCTGTGAATGAGTTGTTACTGTAGAAATCATTACTAAAATGAGCACATTAATATAAACCTGTGAGGTGAATTACAGCAAGCACTAATGTGTAAAATGCAACATAAATTCAAGATTTAAAAAAGAAGAACAAAAGAAAGCAAGCAAACAAAACAAAACAAAAAAAACAGCTATATCTAGCTATATTATCTAGCTATAATGGACTGGGTCATGAATTTCCATTTGAGCCATTACAGCTGGATCCTTATCTTTTTTTTCGAGTAAGTGAAACTATAAACAGCATTATACTGAGGTTAAAATGGGTCTCTTGATACTAATGAGGCTGTTTAGCACACACACACGAACACACACACACAGAGAAAGCATGAGGCATTACTGAGAAGTCTCTTACTGATAAACTTGCTAAATTCATTGTATTGTAGCAGGGATTTGCATTCTCACTGGAAGCCTTGCATGACCCACAGCCCCTGTCCAGCTGCCTCTCATTCTGACAGATGCAAGCAGATTTTTTTTTTTTCCCGGAAACCAAAGCTGAGGTCAGGAGAGTCCCAGTGCACCGTTTTGCTGTCATTCAAAGGCTAGGGTAACCCTGTGAGGGCAGGGAGGAATTGAATACACATACCATTCCTGCCGCCGCCCCATAACAGCTCATTTTAATTTCCCAGCACCCCACTCCGCCTTAAATGCTGGCCCAGCGCCAAGCTGTAAGTGTGTTGAGGTAAAAATCATCATAGCATGTCAGAGTGTGGGCTACAGACTGCCAAATGGTGCAGGACGTCCAACACAGACACATGGTTCACTTTGAGTAAATGGGCCCAACTTTCCGATGGGATGGCTCAACTTTCCAAGCATTGGCTATATTTGCATCAGCCTTAGCGGCCTAAGGGGTGGTATTTATGGACTGAAACATTAGCTAAGGGATCCTGGGACTGAATTATCAAAGTGTTAAGACAAGGTCAAATGACTTTGAGCCCCATCAACACCTGTGCAGTGCTCAAATCATGCTGATATCTTGAAGTTGTTAATAGTTGCACATACCTGTATCAATATTAATAATGCTTGGCCACACTTGATATATTTCAAAACAGTGTTGCAATCAGTGTCAGTTGATATGCTATCTTTAAGCAGACTGCTATGAGTTTGTTGGAAGAGGTGACAGAAATCTAAGCAAACAAGTCTGCTTTTATTAAAACAAGTCTGAAGTCTGCTTTTATTAAAACAACCCAGTCCTGTTTGACCAGCCCTTATCCCCTTGGGGCAATAACACGCTAGAGGTCTCAGAGGTGTCCTGCAGGGTGACAGGCAGAAGAGGGTGGGGATGCTGACAAGCAAGATCCCTTGGTGCTCCTTCCCTCCTTTCCTCCCTCACAGCAGGGCTCTGTTGTCACCTTCTCCTCCTCCTCCATCTTCCCTCCTTTCTTTTCTCACCCTCTCTCTCTCTATCTGTGTGTGTGTGTGTGATAGCAGAGGGGCCCGAGAGGCCGAGGTCAGCACTGGCTGTCAGCAGGAAGATCGTGTGTCTGCTCTGTTTGCCTACTCGGCTCTGACACGGCCTCGAACGGCCAGCTTCAGACGATTATCACCGGTGTCACTGTAAAAGGAGCCTGTCTCTGTAACCAACACACACACACACACATACACACATACACTTTCCAGAACTCTGTGTAAACTCCTGTGTAACCAGACCTCTTACAGAGGCATTTAGTGACAAAAATATACAAACTTTTAGACAAAATTATAATACAGTATTATTTCCTACTATGTAAATTACATTGCATAGTTTAATTATAGTTCATTAATACATTATCCTAGTATAAAAGGTTATGTTAATCATTTTTATTTAGATTAAAATTACTATCATATCTTACTATTCATTGCTATTCTAACAATCTGATAAAATCATAGATTATCTACTGTGATCTAAGTGATCTACTGTACTGGCTGATCTACTCATTTGACTACCTTAGTATCAAGTAAATATTCAAACAAAGTCCCCTTGTGTCTATTCGGTAGTGTAGACCCCCCACCCCTGTATCCCCTCTGCAGTGTTTGTGTGTTTTAAGTGCCTCTGAGAGTGTAAAACTAGCCACAGCTCTCACAGGGCCGGCCGGCTGGGGGTGTCGGCTATCATGTTGAATTAAAGCTATGTCAACACATTTGGCACGACAGGGTCACATTTCACATTCCCTTCTCGCCTGCAGTTACATGGGCAGACAAACATAGCCACCTACTGTATGTACATGATACACACACATACACTCACACCTACAATAAATTGTTGGGTTTTTTCTAAAGAGTCCAGTTAAATACATGTTCAGTTGTAAACGAAATATAAATGTATAAATGTTATATTTATAAAATGCTCCTTCTTTTCAGCTGTCAGGTCATGTTTAGTTAGCAATCTTAGTGTAGATATTAAATAGAATTGAACAACATCTCTTATGGCTGACATCAAACGAGAAAGGAAGACATTTTTTGTCCCACAGCATTACTATCAAAGGGAATTACTGAAGCTCTCAGGGGACTCTCACTGACTGCTGCTGTGTGCTGTGGCTTTTTGTACTACTGATCTGTTATGACACCATGTTGTGTTTCTGACGGGGGGAGAGCCTGCTGCATTTGGGCCATGGGGGTGAGATTAGTGGCCCAACTAACTCCCTCCCTTCTCTGTTCTGCCTGTGTGTGTATGTGTGTGTTTGGCCACTTATTAGGTGTGACAGCATCCACATCCATCCCTTCCCCAAGGGATTTTGCCACACACATTCATGAAATTGAACGTACATGTACAATGAAGGGAACTATGAGGGTGTTAATTTAGTTCTCATGTTATGCTTTGTTTGTTGGCTTTGCACTCTGTGGTTTGTTAGTGAGCTGTGTGTATGGGTAAGAGAGTTTTTTGCCCTGGAGATAGTAGCTTGAAGGTGACATCTGTCTGCCAGTGTGTCACTATAAATACCCCAGCGCAGTGTGTGTGTGTGTGTGTGTGTGTGTGCCCAGGAAGCAGCTGAGCAGAAGTGTTGTGCTCGACTGCATATCTCCAACCCATTCTGTCACCTCTGTAGAGCTCTTAATTATTCTGCTATGTGCTCTGTTGCATACCCACCCTTACTTTTCTACATCACACACAGGAGTAAACATGCACATAAACACCGATATCAAGATTTGTATTAATTTATTTTGCAGATGCTTTTATCCAAAGTGAATTGCAATTAAGACAGCATACAATGCAAGCATATAACTGCATGGTGGTTAAGGTTCTTGATGGCTAAGGTTTTTGCTCAAGGGTCCAGAAGTTGCACTCTGGCACTCTGGGAATTGAGCTCACGATGTTATGGGATCTAGTTTTTGATAGGAAAAACAAATTCAGTAATCTCTAACATAAGGGATAACAGGTGTCACTGGTAGCTCCAAAAAAGCAACAGAGCAAGAGGTTCTATTCTTATTCACCATTTTCCAGCAACATTCAATCTCATATTAACGAGAAACATAGTAGAGACAGCAAACGTTGGACTCAAAGGTCCAGAATGCAATGCGGCTATATGAAGCAGTTGTATGCTCTTATGCTGCATTCAGCATGAGTTTGCAACTTGTAATTCCCTGTTTCCAGCCAGTAAAAGCCACATAAAACACCTCCTCAACATGAAATATCAACTTATCAACTTGGGGTAGTATTCTCAACCACCAGTTCCTTCTCTATTTATGGAGTGAAGCCAAATCAACATGGATGTGCACACTGGGAACAGTGTAAATTAGTTTATAGCAGTATTGGTTTATCACACTGACTATACTAATCTCTGTTTTGAGAAGGTAATCATCAACATTAGAGTCATCACTCATATACTGTAACTAACATTACAGGCTAGCTTGTTACTAACACTACTCGCTATGGTCTGCTATTGTTGCTATACATTTACATTTATGGCTTTTGGCAGATGCCTTTATCCAGAGCGACTTACATTTATCTCTTTTTTACAACTGAGCAGTTGAGGGTTAAGGGCCTTGTTCAAGGCCCAGCAGTGTCAGCTTGGCAGTGCTGGGATTTGATCTCAAGACCTTCAGATCAATCATCCAATGTCTTAACCACTGAGCTGTACTGCAATTTCAGTCCAAACTGTTGCATGAATGTTTGCAGCTCACTATAATAGAACAGTACCAGTAGCCACTCAGGCTGTAAAATGTAAACGTGCAATTAAAGTAGCTTTTTATGAGCTTTATGTGCTCTGACAAAACAAACAAAAGGCACACTGTCGTGGAAGTATCCATGTTTTTTTTCCACTTTGCATATTGAATGTCCCGAGATGGGAAATAACGTCATTACAACTTGCAAATTGCCACTTACAAGGCACCACGAATGCAGCATTAGTTAAGGAAGAGACTCGACTCAGCTAGTTAGCTATCTACAAGATGACAAACACAGTGGTGTTGACGACGGTAATTAGCATTGAAGCACTGGAACCTTATCTCTCTGAGCAGAGTATACAGATGAGGCAGTGAGAAAGCTGGACAGACTAAAGGACTAATGCACCGCTGCATTGTCTCTTAAGGTAGAGACTTTAGGTAAAACAAGGGCTAAATCCCACTAGTGCACCTATGAGCAGGTAGTCGAATGGTATTGTGGGTAATGTAGGAAATGGTTACCCAGTCTGAAAACAGACCAACATGTCAATGAAAGAAGTTTAAACTAAAACAGTCAATCCAGACTTTTATTAAATAAAAATAAATCCTGGATGCTATTGACGATCACGTTAATTATAAAGATTAATATGCAAGTAATACAAGGTGGATGTTTCCTTTATTATTTTCATAATTTATATCTTATATCTTGGCAATTTTTTACAGAATAATTCAGTCATTCATTCATATTTAGCAATTGCTTTATGCTGGTCATGGTGAATCTGGAGCCTTTGAACACGTGAATACACATTTGATGGGATGCCAGATGATCAAGATATTTATATTTTCACATTATCTGTATAAGCACTAGCAAAAGCACACATACATACAATATTCTGTAGAACTAATTCTGTAAAATATACATATATGACATATATCACGCACATCTGTGTGCCTGCTCCAGGTTTACACTGGGTCTCTTACTAAGACTCTGCAGGCAGCTATGGGTTTATGAAGAAAAGTAATGTGAGAGCATTGCACGGCTCGTCTGTTAGAGAACACTGTTCAGGGTTTGAGGTTAAGATGTGGTCTCCTAAGTGTTGCTGCTTTAGAAGAGGGTGTGCATTATGTGAAGCCAATAGGGCAGAGCTGTTTAAGTTCACTGTAAATGGGTAAGTGTGTACGTGTTTGTGTCAGTGTGTGCTGTGGTGTTAGTGGGAGAACTGAATAACGTCTGACTGCCCACAAAGAGACAGAGACAAATTGCAGGTCTGTACAAAGTCCATCACAATGCATTAAACACATAGATGAATTAAAATTATGGCTGCCATATATGCAGTGATGTTTTCTATTGAGAAGCGTGCGCACAAACACACACACACACACACTCCAGTAGTCAAGACAGTGTCAGGTTCCTACACCTCTAACCTCCACACTAGGAGCCAGTGTCGCCTTTACTTCAATTTGCTTTAGAAGAAAGAGGGAAAAGCCCTCCCTTCTTCAAGTCAACATTTGAATTGGACGCCATTCTCTAACCACCTCAGGCCTGCTGTGGTTTTTGGCAAAAATGAACAACTCTTGGCATTTTTAGGACATGAGAGGTTTGTCTTGGCTAGCTCTTTCAGTCTTGTGTCTACAAATGTTCTCTCTGTCTCATTGAGAGGAAGATCAATGTTGTTGTTTCAGCCTGGCATCAGGGGGAGAAAAGGTAAATTTACCATACATTTCCAGGGACGTATGCGTAAACAAACAAACAGAAAAGACACAAATGCATCATCGATGTCAAAGATTCCCAGAAATCAGGGCATTATGTAGAATTTCTTGAGTAATTCCAAAAATAAAGTAGACACTAATGCCAAAAAGTGCTTTTTAGATTTATTTGATGGTTTGTCTAGCTTGAAGATTTCCTGGTCTATTGATCCATGCAAATTGGATAAATTCAGAGGAATAAAGGCAAATCAAGAAAATATTCCATTCATTCATTCATCTTCAGTAAGCACTTTATCAGGCTCATGCTGGATCTGGAACATATCCTGGGAAAACAGAAAAAATAACAACAAATAATACAACAAATATTTAATGATACGGATGCATTCTTGGTCAAACGGTTACTCTGCTGCAAAACAAAATAATTCTACTTAGCAAGCTGTTTCCAGCTCATACAGAGTCGATACATTAAACAGCTTGTTTCTATGTTCTTAAAAATACTATATTCTCATTTACTTATCCATGACTCTCAGCTCCCATTGCCTGAAATCCTTTCAGACGTCACACTACACTTTGCTTTTAATCTGCAGATGCACCGTTGCCTTATGATGTGTAGTGAGTCATCATGTCCCTAAACATTCAGAGCCATGGATGATGAACTTCTCATAGCAAACCTATAAGGGAAAGTCTGTCACACCAAAGAGGAATATTTTGCAGGCCTTAAACCTTAAAATAGAGTTTCTACAGATCTTCATTACAGGCATAAGAGTAATCATACATTCAATTAGGCATATACATCACTTTTCATCATAAATAATAATCACACATAATCATACTATTTATTAGGTTAGCATGATGGGCACATCTGTATAAACAGATGTTCACACTATCCAAAGTATTTATTTAAGTTAATGCCAGTGAGTGACTGAAGTGAATACACTAAACTGTAAAGGAACTCTTTAAAACACTTGTGAGCTTTGGGCATTTCTCTTAACCTTTTTTTTAATTTTTTTATTTTAATTGCATGTTTAATAATTCCCATATAGGCTACATTACAAAGATGGTACAGCATCCAGTGACACAGTATTACATCAACAAAACATGGCAGGATTTTATTAGGAAATAAAAATTGTAAAGTGCTTTTGCTTGAATTTTAATTAAGGTTGCTAAACCACTAGCCACAAAATTAAATATTTATTTTTAAGGTCTTAATAGTTTTTGATGATGATGATGGTGGTGGTGATGGTGGTCTTCGCATAATTATGGCCTTAATCTTTAAAAAAAATCTCTTTTTGAGTCTTTTAATAATACAAACACCTCATCTTCGCAAGTCCTGTTCATAGTTTAGATCAAACTATATTCTAAATGTTCTGCTTGGACCTAAAGCTCTGCACTTAAAATATTTCTGATTCTTGAGAAATATTTCTGAGCTCCTTTTCTTCAGACAAGAGACGCCAGGCCTTGTGTTCTGTGAGCGACTATGCAATCAAATAAAAAGTCTGTGCTAGTGTTAGAACACATCATAGTCATCCTCCCACTTCCTTGAATTGCCAGGCTGCCTCTCGGAGCGGCTGTGACATTTCTCATGGCCATCAAAGCAGAGTGCCAGAGAAGGCTACCAGTCAGAAAAAATAACAGGACTATTTTCCTTGCAATCCCATTCGTATTCTTCAGATTTATCACTTTCCAACCTTGACGAGTCATGTTTGAATCGCTCAAATGGCAGAGAACCATTGAACAGTCAAATGCTTTTCATGTTTTCTCAACCTCTCTCAGGTCCTTTGATACTTCTGAGTAAGGCAATATCTTTTATGTTAGTAAATTAGATTCGAAGGTCACAGCACTTCATGTCGCTGTCAGAAAAATTACGTGGAATGTTGTGAACCTTTTCTTTTCATCATTCATTCTCTACTCTGTTTTTTTCTCTGGCAACTTGCCCTCTCTAGACTCTGTGATTTTGGTACATGCCTCAGGCACTTCAGTGTATAAACACATGATGATGAATGTAATGCCTTTGTGAATGCAGATTTTGTGAATCAGACTTAGCTCATATAGACATGTATAATATCCTACCTGTTTTTCTATATACATTGTATTTCAATCTAATGAAAGTTCAGAGTGGACTGAGCTCATGGGCTTCTCTTTCTAGTGCTTTCTGTGAGTGTTTTGCCCATTTCATTTCATTGCAAGATTCAAAATATTTCAATTATTTCACCAGCTTCTCTCACATTAAAAACAGTGACTGTTAACTACCTTTTTGTTGTAATGTCTGTACTCTACAAATCCAGTCAATAAGATAACGACCCATTTAAATATTATGAAAGTCAACATTTAGAACCATTTGGTGAAAGCATGAAAGCCTCTAAAGTTTGGCCTAATTATAGACAGATTTGCAATGAAATACAGACCTTTTCAGATGAAATATATTAATTAATTCAGGTAGCAGTTACCATGTAACTGTTCTCTGCCACATAGGACATTTCATTTAGATTTTCAAACACTGGTTACAAATAAGTTGTGATTTTGTTATTGTTAACCTATATTAACCTATTTCCAGGCATTTCTTTATTTCAAGCCTGACATATATATTATATTGTGACATATATATTATTATATATTATATTCGTTTATTGGCTTCTTAATAAATAAAGACATAAATGCTTGAAATAAACAAAATGATATGACAACAGAAGATAATTTCATGTTTTATTAGTAAAAATGACAACCAAATGTCTAGAAATATGTTTAATTATCTTATATTTGTGTTATTGTCATCTCATAATGAGAAATATTAGATCCATTGATTATATTTAAGATATTTTCACTTGAAATGTATCTCATATTTGCTGTAGATTTTACCATTACAAAAAAAATTCTGACTTAATATAATTAATTGAGTAAGCTTAATATTTAGAGTTTTAGTATGCACAAACAGTAAGCATAATTCCAAAATTTATCCTTGGAGGAATTGTGAAGAATGTGTATTTCACTGTCAACATTCTATTCTGACAAAAGACTGGTGTACTGCGAGTGTTTGTTCATGTGTGTGTGTGTGTGTGTGTGTGTGTGTGTGTTTTCTTTGTCACACAATGATAGACTAAGACCCAGTCAAACTGATTAGATGCAGCAGACCCTTGGAAAACTCGTTGTGTTTACAGAGGCAGTCATTGATTTACTTTAGCAGAGCCAATTTGCTTGTAAAAGCCATTTTATTTGCCTCTTCTATGTTGGAGCAGGAACTTCACTTTGTAATTTTACAGCAAATAAAGTGTAGAGTA